CTGAGTTCAAATCCCAGCTCTACTACTTTGTAGTTAAGTCAGTTAACTTCTCTGAAACTATAGTCTTCCTCATCTGTACATAGGGATGCTGCCTACAGTGCACAACTATTGTGAGGACTCAACTAGAAAACACACATAGCCAGTATACAAGAGGTCCTCAAAAAGCAGAGCCAAAAACATCAAAACTGTCAAAGACACTGGGATTTCTATTTAGTAATTCCTTCAGTAAGCATTTATATTATCTTCTGATCCCTGTGCTGCATTTCAGGGTTTGGTGGCAAAAAACTATAGCCCCACTGTTCACAATAGCCAAGTCATAGAATCAGTCTAGGTGCCTATCAACAGATGAATGCATAAAGAAAGTGTGGTATCTATATGCACAATGGAGTATTATTCACCCATAAAGAAGAATGAAGATTATGTCATTTGCAGGAAAATGGATGGAACTGGAGATCATCATTTTAAGTGAAATAAGCCAGACTCAGAAAGACAAGTATCACATTTTCTCTCATATGCAGAATCTAGAATTTTTTTTAAATCTGGAAAGCAGAAGGAGTCAGCAGGAAGAGGGAGTGAAGCAAGAGAAGGTGACGGAGAGGCGAATGTGATCTTATAACTATGTAATAAAGAAAACTATAGGCAAGATGGATGGAAATGGAGGGATAGCAACTTGGGAGTAAAGTAAGTGCATTACAGCAGAGATTGTAAGCATCTGTACAGGGTACAGTGGGAGAGAGAAGGGCTCTAGGATAGTGGCAAGGCAGGATTGTTCCCACAGAAACCTTCACAGAGGTGTTAAGAACAGGCCATGATCCTCAGCAGGGTCTTCCTAGCATATAAGGTGGAATGACGTTTTTGTTTTGAGCCTGTACACTGCAAAATGTGTAGCATAGCTATTTCCCTCAAAAACCAGTGGTGCCCTGTGGTCACTGTTACAAAACCAAGAAAAATAAAACAGCTCTATACAAATATCCCCTTGATGTGGAATGGAGGCAGCAGCTACAGCAAACACCACTGAGGAGGAAGCTCCAGTGGGGACTGGGGACACACCAGGTAAAGCAAGGAACATGTTACAGTGCCACATGTTCAACTCCTTGGCTTCTGCACAGCATGGAACATTCTTGTTCATCTGCACATGCCCCCCACGAGTTCATTACTTTCTCCCTTCACATCTCAGTTCTACCATCTCTTCTTTGTTTTCTTTTTGATGTTTGTTGTTTTTTGTAGTGCTGGGGATTGAAGACAGGACCTCACACTTGTTAGGCAAGCACTCTACCATTTGAACCATACCCCAGCCTTTTGTTTTCTATTTTGTTTTGTTTTTTAAATGGGGTCTTGCTAACTTTTACTCAGGTTGGCCTGGAACTTGTGATCTTCCTGCTTCCTCCACTCAAGTAGCTGGGATCACAGGTGGGTGCCTCCACTCTCAGCTCCACCAGCCCTCTGTAGGAAGCCTTCCTTAATGCCCACCCCTGCTGCATAGGTTGAGTCTTCTGTAGTACACCTTCCAAAGGAGACCCTGTGCCTTGTCTTCTGGGCATACAGACAACTAATTATTTGGCATAGTTCTGAACAGTTAAATCTTTCCTAGTGAATAAAAGCTCTACAAGAAAGAGTTCACAGTGACAACCGAGAGGGCACCCATCAGAGAAAGTACAAAGCAGTAAGTGCTTAGAAGTGAAGGGCAACATCAGCAAGGTCAGACGTGCCATGTCAAAGTGAAAGGGTAAGGAAAGAAAGGTGTGCAGAAGTCCTGGCAAGGCAGAGGTTTGAGGCCTGTTTTGATGGGATGGTGGGAGGAAGGAGGAAGCAGGAAGTCAACAAAAGATGATTTGTGGAAGTACAGGTGTCAAGCACTGTGGCTGGGCAGATATGCAGGTGTTGGTAAAATGCGAGGAAAACTGAATGGGAAGGATTGATGAAACAGAGAAGAAAACAGGATCTCAGCACAAGCAATGGAACCAGGCTCAAAGCAAACACCCTGTTTTCACTGAACTGGAATAAAAAGAATGCGCTAGTCTAGCTGGGAAGTTTATAGCAATTGTAGAAGTGCTGTAAATGATGACTGCAACAACGTGAAGCAAAAGGCAAGGGAGGAACTAAGAAGAGGAGTGAGAACGGGGTGGACATACAGGGAGATGGGAAAGAGAGCTGCCAAAGATGCACGGGGAGCAGAGAACCTGGCTGTCTGTTTGGGGACATAGTGTGATTATGCTAAGGGCACAATTCGTCTATGATATCACTGTCAGTGCCTTAAGATACCCCAAGAAAACTGCACCCCTGCCCTACTGGCTAGACTCCCCAAGGAAAGAAGAGTTTCTTCCTCTAGCACACACACTTTGAGAGAATAGCAACCTGGATGAAGGTAGTGTAAGAACATCCCAGAGGTGATCGCTCTGGAGCTGGACGAAGATCCACGAACAGGGTGTTGCCCAACCTGCCACAAACGTATACTCAGTCCTTCTCAACACTGGAGAAAATTAGGACGACCAGGAGAAAGAGGAGAGCAAGATGTAAGCAGCAGCCTTCATTTCCCTGGGTAAAGGAAGATAGAAGCCTACTGACTTCCAAGTACAATCTCAGTGGAGAGTGGGGATAACCAGAGACTACTCACCAGAGAACTTCACCATCTCTTGTTTCCACACAGCACATTCATTTTGCCAGTATCCTGGTTCTTGTCTCCCTCCTCTCCCCAACTCATTCAGTCAGCTCCAGCAAATCCCACCTCCTCTATTTCTCAAATCCACCCGCCCTCTCCATGTCCACAATCAGTGCCTTTGTCTAAACCATCATCCTTGGATACCTGGATCATTGCCATAGTACCCTGAACAGTCCCCTGATGGTCTTGCCCTATGCAGTACAGCTGCCACTTGCTGCCTGAGTAATTTAAAAAGACACAACATGCCACACCCTTAAATTTCTTCAGTGCCCTTCTTGCCACTCTCATACATCAAAAATAAAGTCCAAACAGCTTGTCCTGGCACCATTAACTTACACTGCTTACTGAGTGTTCATCATCCATCCACCAGAACTAAGTGAGCAACACACCCACACAGCTCATTCTCTTTCTTTCCCTCCCCTGCTGCTCCTGCTCCATCTTTTTTTTTTGCAGTGCTGTGGTCAGCCAGCACCCAGGGCCTTATGCATACTAGGCAAGCACTCTACCATTGAGTTTACTTTGTGTGTGTGTGTATATGGTACTGAGGTTTGAATTCAGGGCCTCACAGTTGCTAGGCAGGTGCCCAGCTCTAATTTTAAAACATAAGGCAAGGACTCTATCAATGAGTCAAACTCCAGGCCCCTAGTTCCCTTTTATAAATGAAAAAGTGAAGTTTAGAAAAGAAGTGACGTGCCCAGGGTTATGAAACCTCAGTGGCAAGGCTAGTATCTGGGACACAGGCAGCTTAGAATCCATGTTCTCAATATGCCACAGCCCACAAGGCCCTTCATGATGTAGCCCCTGCTTACCTTTGCAGCCACCTCTCATCCTGCAGCTATACTGACCCAGCTGCAGGCCATACTGTGGCATCTACAGCCCTTTGTTAGTGCCACTTCCCAGCCCTCTTAACCTGGTGTACCCTGCTCACTCTTCAGGGCCACTCCTTATTAGCACCTTCTGATGCCTCAACCTGACTTACACACACTAAAGCCCTATTCAACTGCACTTTGGCAAGAGCTCCATGTGGTATCTGAAAAACAGACCTCCTTGAGGGCAGGGAGCTGGACCTTATTTCGTTTTTTGTATTCCCAGCTTGCAGCTCAGTGTCAGGCCCCCAGGAGGTGTTCACAAATGTTTATGTGTATTCTTTATAATGGGAAGCTGGGTGGGAACAGGAAAGGAACACTATGGTTGAATAAGAGTCCAGCACTCAGCTCTTGAAAGGGCTTCAAATCATGTCACATGAGAGCACGTAGGATTGGCCAAGGAAAACTGAAGAGGAGATGATGTTCCAGGCAAGAGAAACATCAGGAGTTACAGGTGAGACACACTTGCAAGCAATTTAATAAGACTGGGGCATGGAGCTGGGGGACAGGGCAACAGTTTGGTCAGATAAGCCTCCCAAAATAGGCTCACTCAGATGTTACCCTACCTCCTCAGAGTACCCACGCCTGTCCAGTTAGCTCTTCAAACAGCTCCCTCTAAATAAATAAATAGCTCCCTGGGTCCTCCAAGTTGTTCTTCATCTATTGCCTTGTGTTCTTTCTTGTAGCACCCATCAGAACCTGGTACATCTGCCACTCCTGTCATATTTTATTGACAGTCACCACCATCATCATCTAAAAGTAGGTTCCATGAAACAGGGCTCATTTTTTTTGTCCTACAATGATGCTTCACATAACAGGCATTCAAATTTCTATTTAGTCAATCAACAAATATTTATTTAGCATATATAATATGCCAGGCACTGTTCCACATGCTATGGATATAACAACACATAAAACAAGACAAAAACTATCACTATGGCACACACTACACATAAATTCATCACATTTAGCCTGGAGAAGGAGGAAAGAGGAAGACTGGCACTTTGGAAGATTGTAGGGCAAATCAATGAGCTGAGATTACTACAGAACTGCTTTCAACTCCCATGTGACTTTTTTCGGTCAGAAGTAGGAAGAACCACAAGTAATGAGCTTTCTGTCACCAAAGAAATATGACCAGTGGGTAGAAATATCACAGCAGGAAAAAAAATCCAAGTAGTTATTGGGAAAGAAAGCCTGAAAAAGAGGTTGTGGTTGGCAGCCACAACTATGTCTAGCTACAGTTGCTCAAAGTTTTAAAAAATAAACTGAACTAGCTGATTCTTTTTGGTTATTCGGGGCAGACGTGTTAGTGGCCAGAGTTTAAAAATATACATGGCACCCACGTGCACACACACATGCTGGATTTAGATTCACTTCTCCAACAACATGTTAGTACTGTGCTTATAACGTACAATCCAGTAAGAATAAAAGTTTGACTATTTCTGACAAAGGCGTTTTCTTACACCTACATTTACCTTACATGATTCCTATTAGATAACAGTTTGTAACGTCTGGAACAAACCAAGAAATCGAGCTTAGTTGAGAAGAGCCCTCAGCATAGACGTCCTTGAACCCCTCATTTCAGGAACAACGTATTATTACGCCCATTTTACAGGTGAGGAAAGAGAGGCTCAGAAAGGGGAGGTACGCCGGAGCCAAGGCAGGACGAGAGCCCAGCTGACCCATCTCGACTGTTCCAGCACCCGATCCTGCGCCCTACCTGTGGAGGACAGGAGAGGTTGCCCCGGGAAATCAACACAAGTTTCTCAGTCGGCAACCCGGGACTGAACCAGTGTGAGGGGACGCGGCAGCAGAGGAGACGCGACAGCCGCCTCGTGACGTCCTGCAGGCGGGAGGACCGCCCAGAGGCGAGTGGGAGAGCATCCCTAGACCCTTCACCGCCGAGCTCGTCCCTTCTCTCCGGTCCTCCAAAACCCACCCGCGACACCCCACTCCTCCCTCGCCAACCGAGGCTCTCTTACCGCCGCTCAATTTCCGGCAACCACAGCGCGGGTCGCAGCGCGCGCCCTGATGACGCAACGTAACCCCGCCCCCAAATGCCAGGGGAAAGCGGCGCGCGTGCGCACAGCAGCCAGGGCGGCTGGGGAAATGCGCCCCTAGCACCGCGCTAAGTGGGAGGGCCCTGAACAGTGGGGAAGGCGGGGCATCGGGAGGTGGGCGAGGTCCCTGGCTGAGCCTGGGGGAGAGACTCGTTTGGATGTGGGATTGTGTATTTGCTGGTCAGGCTTTTTAAAAATGCTCCACTCTCTTTGATGTCAGAGGTGACAGAAATTATTATCACTGCCATTTTCCAGGGGAAGTAACATCAAAAGTAACACAGATGTAAAAACAGGTGAGACTCAGAACAGGCAAAGCCAGGGAAAGTTGACAGTGATGCAACTTCAAAACCACTTGCTCTTCAAAACCAGTCTGGTCTTTCAAAACCAGTCACTAGTCTCAAAGCTCTCCACGGCCCATTCTAAATTACTTGGGTGTTGATGATAGAGCTGTGACTATGATAAATTTCTCAATCTAGCCAAGGCCTTTACAAAGTGACTCTGTTATAGCTCTCTAGACTTATAATAGTAACAGCAATTACTACTATTTATTGATGATCATGTTTTCAGGTTTTCACCTCTCTAATACTAACAAGGGTCCTGTAAGGGTGGTATTTTATTATTATTCCCATTTTATATGGGAAGGAACAGAAGCTAGGGAAGTTTAAGTGGCTTTCCGAAAATTAAAGGGCTTTTGGCCAGGATTTTGTAATCAAAGTCCATTGGCTCTGTCCAAAAAAAAAGAAGAAGAAGAACAAATGCAGACTGGGTAAGGATATTTTATTAGGATAATTGCAAGTGATGGGAGAGGAATGAAGAGCGGGACTATGTAATGGGGGAGGGGAACTATTGGAATTTGGAGATCAAGCTGACCAAGTCTCAAGAGTTAGGCAAAGGGTCAGTCTCTTTCCCAGAACCCTCCCTCTCACCTTCCTCTCCTCCCTCCCACCTCCCTCGTCTCTCCCTCTCTTCCTCTCTGGATGGGGTCCTGCTATGTTGCCAGGCTGGTCTGAAACTCCTGGCCTCAAGCCATCTTCCTGCCTCATGGCTTGGATTACAGATGTGTACCACCATGCTAGCTAAAAGATTTTTCCTCATAGGGAAGCCTAAACAAGACCAGAAATAATCCAGTGTGGAAAAGTGGGATGAAAGGGTGACTAGACCCAGATACTATATCAGAGACCATTTCATCTTTCTGCTAGCTTGTTCTCCAGAGGGCTTATGCGCTGGTTTAGGCTGAGGGTGCCTCAAAGGTAAGAACCCTGGGGAAAGAAGGAGGCTTAGTCAAAGTTTGGTCAACAGGCATTTTTCCTCCAGATTGATCAGCAGTGAAATGTAGTTCATCTGATCTTTTATGAAGCAAATAACAAAAATTCAGAATCAGCGTGCTGTGCATCTGGCTCTACAGTGGGTAAACAAAGGAGCATCCATGAATCTTATATAAGTCCCATAGGAATGGGTATTTCTTTGCAGTAAATACTTTTGGACCACAAAAGGGTAGAAGGGATTTTTTTTGGGGGGGGGCTGTCCTAGGATTTGAACTCAGCACCTTGCACTTGCTACACTGGTACGCTCCCACTTAAGCTACACCCCCAGGCCATTCTTGTTTAACATCACACGCAGCCTATTTGTTGAGATGGGGCCTAGCTAACTTTTTGCAGGCTGGCCTGTAACCTCGATCCTCCTTATCTCTGCCTCCAGCATAGCTGGAATTACAGGTGTGAGCCACCACACCCAGCTAAAAGAATTTCTTAACATTACTGTTTTTCCACAAGTACAGAGCTCAAAGAAAATTTATCATTGACAACTCTTTACAGTATGTCAGGCACCTCTCCTGTTACAGCCCCCACACACTGAGTACTCAGGTCATACTAAACTAACTGCTTTTCCAGGCAACTTCTCTTCTTCATCTCTGTCCCTTCTTCGTCTTCACAACCCACCTGACATGTGGGTGGATCTTAGGCAAACTATTGATAGAAAAAAAAAAGAGTATGACATTATGTCATTCCACTTACATGAAGCTCAATTGGTGGGTACCTGAGTGTGGAGGAAAGGCCCCCCTTTATGAGGGCATGGTGGGAACAAAATACCATGAGCCAGACGCAATGAAGGAGGGGCCAATCTCAGATGTTCCCACCTATGCAAAATTCAAACCATAGTCTCAGAAGAGACAACCAATCTATAAGCTTCACAAAAATGGAGATAGCCAATCAAAAGTAGCCTAACCCGGGCTACAAAACCTATTCTCAACCCTCTCTGTGTACTGTGCTCTTTTGCATAGTCTCCTGCCCACAGTGCCACCCTAACAAATCTTTACTTTCTGCTCTGTCTCAGTGAATTCTTCTACCAGCCCACAGCTCCCAGCACAGAGGGAGGACTGCCTGCAGAAGGTCATGAGGAGTTTGGGTAATGTTCTACAACTTCAGTTAGGGATGACATGGTACAAAACTCACGAACTCTACATGTGAACTGGCATTGTTTAGCTGGGTAGCAATGGGTCACACCTGTAACCCTAGCTACTCAAGAAGCAAAGATCGGGAGGATCAAGGTTCAAAGCCAGCCCCAGGCAAATAATTCTTGAGACCCTAGCTCAAAAATATCCAACACACACAAAAAAGGCAGGGGAGGGGGAACTGGAGGAGTGGCTCAAGCAGTATGAGTGCCTACCCAGCAAGTGTAAGGCCCTGAGTTCAAAACCCAGTGCCACTAAAAAAACAAAAGATTTTTTTCTTCAATGCACTGATATTATGTCACTCAATCTATTCTTTCTGTCCCCACATTCTCTCTGCTTCTCCTTTTCTGTCTCCCTTTCTTTATTGGGGGTGGGGTGAGGTGGGTGAGCAGCACTGGGATTTGAATACAGGGCCTAGCACTGGCTAGGCAGGCGCTCTATTAGTTAAGCTACACCCCCAGCCCTTTTCTGCTTTAGTGATTTTTTCAGGTAGGTTCTTGGATTTCTCAGTCCGAGATCCTCCTAGCTACACCTCCTACGAAACTGGGATTAGAGGCACACACCACCATGCCCAGCTCATTTCAACTTTCGTCTCTCTCCTAATGAATCCCTCTTCTGCATCTTAGCCTCCTCAGCTCCCTTTTAATCTCTTCCTGATGCTTTCCTTCAGTATCTTCCTCTTCTTCACACTTCTCGCCCTCTCTCCCTTTTCTGCCCCTAGTACCCCCATCTCTTCCTCTTATTCCTTTTCTCTAATGCTGTTCCCCTCCTCACTCCCCAGTCTTTCTATATAGCCCAACCTGGCCTGGAATTCACAATTGTCTCACCTCAGTTCAGATTACAGATGTGTGCCACCATGCTTGGCTCCAGTCTTCTCTTATTCTTGCTTCCCATTCCTCCCCTCAGTCACCCCAGTCCTTACCTTTATTCTTCCTCTCTATCCCTTCTTTCTTCCCTGTGCTATCTCTCTCTAAGGTAGCAGTGATCTGGGAGAAGGACTGAAAAAAAATGAAATCAGTTCTATAATGTCACAATTGTTAGAAACCATTTAAAAAAAATCCTATCAATTATGAAAAATGCTGTGTTTCAAATATGTTTGTTCCTGGAGTTTAATCCCAAAGTCTTATGTTAAAGGTACCAAAAGGTAGAAACTTACTCTCACTATGGAGTTTAGAGGTGGGGCCTTTGGGAGGTGACTAGGATTAGTAGGTAAAGTCTCTAGGGTGAGCTCCCATGCTTGAATCCTGGTGGCTTTATAAGAAGAGGGAGGGGGCCACACACACACCACACCCCTACCATGATGTGATACAGTCAAGGGAGGCCTCTGACCAGGGTCTGCATTTTCAGAACCATGAGCCAACATAAACCTCCTCTTATCCTTATCAAGTACCTGCCTCATGTATTTTGCTATAGTAACTAGACTCATCCATACGCTTTGTACATACTGATGAAGTGTTTGGAAATCGACAAATTTAGCAAAAATGGCATCCAAATAACTGGCTTGAAGCTAATCAGCCCATGAAAAGAATTCTGAAGGAGCTTGTGAATCTGAAAGTTTCTTACCCACAATCTAGTCCTTCCTCTGGATTTGGTATAAACTGTCAGCCACTAATTCTTTCCTAATGGGCTCAGTCATCTCTGTACCACAGTTTGATGCTTTTCATAAATTCAAAATTAATTCACTCATTCAGACAGGAGAAATTAAGAGGAGGTTGATAGGGCAGAAAGGAAACACATTCTACAACTGAACCTTGGAACCTTGGTTCCTTAACTTCTCTGGACTTGGGTTTGCCAATCTGTGAAAACAAAGAAATTGCCAGGTGCCAGTGGCTCACACCTGTAATCCTAGCTATTCAGTAGGCAGAGATCAGGAGGATCTGATTTGAAGCCAGCCCAGGCAAATACTTCTTGAGACCCCATCTCAAAAAATATCCAACACAAAACACAAAAAAGGACTGACTGACGGAGTGGCTCAAATGGTAAAGCACCAGCCTAGCAAGTATGAGGCCCTGCGTTCAAATACAAGTACTGAAAACACACACACACACACACACACACACACACGGACATCTCCTCCTGAGGAGGTTGCTGTGAATGCTGCTTAGTTAATGGTGGTAAAGCACAAAGCTGCCATGTGCTATACGCTCCCAGAAAGCCTTTTTTGCACAAGCACCAAACACACCATTCGTAGCCATGGACACACTGGGTTCCTCAGATTCTGACAACGTATTTATTGACTCCTTCCTCTTCCTGTTAGACATAAATCCAGATCCCTCTAACCCAAAGTCAAAGTTCATAATCACTTCTCTCTGCTGTTTGCCAGACTGTTCATCAACACATATAATAGCACTGTCTGTGTGGACTGGTCCTTGTAAGTGTTCTTCGGTCCTGTGATCCTGTAGGGAGCAACTCTCTCACCAGGCTTCTGCAAAGTGGCTTATAAACTGAAACAGACCAGCTGCAGCTTCCAAAAACCAGGAATGATGTTCCCAAGCTCCCCCAATTTTGAGCAAAAAGAACTTTCCCAGATGTAAAGCAGAGTAAGCATTTTAGAAAACAGTCCTTTTTGAAAGACATTTACAAATGTGACCAGAATCCCTCTATCAAGTTTTGTTACATCGCAGGGTATATTCCGACACATTTTCTCAGTCCAAGAGAATCAAAAAGGTAGAAATAAATAAACCAGATAATAGTATTCTTTCAGACATTCTATTTTAGGTAGGCAAAAATGTCCCATTTGAACAGATCATGCAAACAGGAAAGCAAGACACAAAAGACCAGCTGTACAGGCATTGCTGTCTGATACACATATTAGGATTTTACATTAAGTTTTAAAATATAAATCACAACAAAACTGCAACCTAAATAGCAAGTAAAGCTGTAGTTCCCAGGCCTGTGCTCACTTTTACTTAACACGTGTGACTATAAAAGAACATGATGACTTTTTGACTCACAGATAAAAGTGCACACTGTCCTCCCAAAGGGTCACCTTCTGTGGCCACAGATGTGTTCCCTATAATCTGTTCTTCGTCTCAACATACCACTTTGGGAACTGACCACTCTTGGGAATACTGCTCCTCATTTTGCCTTTTGGAGAGATATGTTACTCCACTATTTTTTTTCATCCTAACTTCCTCACATAACTAGCTATGTGAACTTGGGCAACTCGTTTCACCTGATGCATCTCAAATGTGCTCTTCTGCACACAGTTAGGACTTGCTACAATCCTGTTACAGTGTCATTTAACTTTAATGAGGTAAACCTGGTCCACCCTTGAAGCCCCACCCCCATTCTTTTGTTTTGCTTTTAAAATGCAACCATTCAAAACAACTTCTATTGTTTTTTATCTTTTTGAGGACAGCTTTTGTTGCCATTTTTTTAAGACAAAAAAAATTAAGTTGAAGACAGTGGACATGCAAGTGGTATAATTTCCTACCAACTCTAAGACATGCATGAGTAAGAAAGAGTAAGGCAGGATTTTCCAGAAAGCTGTGAAAGAGGCTCAGAAGAGAGGTGTTTTGAAAAGTGGCAGCCACAGTGGAACAGCTGCCACATCTGTCCAGGTGACCCCTGACAACAGGCTTAAGAGCACTGTCACATTCTCCAGTGGAACGCTACCATGTGTGCCTTCAGCTGCCAGTTCATTCCAGTCTGAAAGCTTGAGTTATGAAGAGAGTCTGAGGCTTCCATGTTTCCTGGGGGGCAGGAGAGCTCACCCAGGTCTCCTTTTCTTGCAAATAATCTGCTTTCTACTCAAAGCGCAACCTTTCTGCTGACTGCTTCCACCTGCTGTTCTTCCAACAGTGCCTAAGAATTCCTCCATCCTACCCAGTCCCCAAGGCTTCAGATTTCCACCCCAGAAAGCGCAGGAGCCTGGCAGCGCACAGGCTTTCTACCTCCCTTCCTTGGACACTTTAGGTCCACTTTGTTACATCCGCTCGATGCCTCTCTTAAGAGCGAATATGAAGGATTTTCTTGAAAGTCTTCTTGAAATTCTCATTGCACAAGGGGTAGATGAGGGGGTTCAGCGTGGAATTGATGTAGCCCAGCCAGATGGTGAACATGTGCACCTGCTCATTGCAGCAGCTCTTGCAGAAAGCGATGACCATGAAGAAGATGAAGTAGGGAATCCAGCAGAGGATGAAGGCCGCCATGATAAAACCCAGTTGTTTAGCTGCCTTCCGCTCACGGCTCATGTGCAACCCCGACACATACTGTCTTGAATGTGAGCGGAGCCCTTCCAAGTGAACTTGATGTAATCCAGGCCTGTTGTAGACCCACTTCTCGATTTGCCTCTTGCTTGGTGCTGGCTCTATGCTGGTGTCTGAGTCTGTGGTCCGGGAGAAGGACTGTCTGTCAACCAACGTTCGATCTGGTGACATCTCGCCGACCTGACACGTGTTCAGGCTCTGTGCCTCCATCTTAAGCTGGCTCTGGATCTGGTTGTTAGCTTCGCAGGCTGCGCCACCTCCCTCGGCCACCATTGGCATCTGCCCAATGTTAAATGGGAAGCAGTGGAGTCTGACTGCTTCTCCATCTTCCTCCTGGCTGATGGTGACTGCAGACTTCATGTCCTTGGGGTCTGGGGATGGTGACTTCAGAACAGGTCCACCACTGGCATCTTTGGACGGGCTTTTCAGAACCTCCCAGGGAGACTCCTTTCCCGGTTTCTTGGTATCCATCTTGGCATTCTCCGCCTTCAGCTTAATTTCCATGAATGAAGGTAAGGATCCGTTGATGAGCTCACGGTGCTGACAGTGTCGCCGCACGGCCTTGTAGATCTTGACATAGAACCAGAGCATAAGTAAAGTGGGCAGGTAAAAGTTGATGATGGCAGTCATGATCTTGAACCAAGTGACATCATAGAAGTCTGTCTCGCACTTGTCTTCCCGGTGCCCTGAAGTCTGGGTCATGAAGTGATGCCAGCCCAGGATGGGAATAATCCACAGGAAGGAGAGAAACCAAGCTCCCAAAATGGTGGCTGACGCTCGGGTCTTGGTACGGTACCTCAAGTACCTGAGCGGCTGCTGGACAGAGCGGTAGCGATCGATACACAAGATGAAGACGCTAAAGATGGACGCAGTACTGGCCACGTAGTCCATGGAGAGCCAAAAGAGACAGAGGGGACGGCCCATGACCACCTGGACATGAGGAGGTAGAGGATGTTCATAGGCATGACGACCGCACCCACAATGAGGTCTGCTACCGAGAGGCTGACAATGTACAGGTTCCCCACGGTATGCAGCTTCCGCTCGCTCCGGACCGCATACAGCACCAGCAGGTTGAGGCCCACCGTGACCAGGGAGATACTGCTCAAGACCACCACCAAGGGCATCAGCTGGGGGCTGGCCATGGTGGTCCTGTTCCCCTCACACATCGTGTCTTCCAAGACGTGGGAGGAGTTGGCAAGGCTCATTGGCACAAAGGCAGCCTCCAGCTACGGCTCCCTCCCTGGGGGAAAAGACAGAGGGGTGAGGTCAGAGATCAGTGGTCAGAAGGTGCACCACAGTTATCAGACTGAGTTGTAGGGCTGGGGCACCTGCCTAGCAAGCAACATGGCCCTGAGTTCAAACCTCAGTACCACTTGAACACACAAAACCAACTCTGTTGAACACCTATCCATCAACCATGTCCTGACCCCTTCTTACTCACTCACCCACTCACTCATTCACCCATTCATCCAGGGAATGTTAAATTCCTGGCATTGTTCTGGATGTCTGGATATGGCAGTGAATATATCTCTGCCCTCACAGAGCTCACATTCTAGGGACAAGTAGGGCCAAAACAAGGGAAGTAAATAATTTTTTGTAAGTCTCGTTCTGCCACAGGTTCTGGGAAGGTGAGAGCCATCCTGGTGATCAAAGCTGAAGACAGTAATCTAGTTCCTCTTTGCCATGGCTGGCTTCAGAACCACATGAGACATAACTGTGGTCAAGAAAGTAGGTGGGGCTCAAGGAAAGTCCTTCTGCTCTGACAAATAACAAAACAGGTGAAGAACATCCTCTCCCACTTGCCTCATTCTCTGTGAAGGGAAGTAAGAAAGTGATGTTTAGGGCTATGGCAGTCATTTTGGGACCATCAAGGAAATGCCAGGAAAACATGAGGCTCCAACTCAGAGCCCCATTATCACTAAGCTGCTGAGCCAACCCTGGAATTTTCTTAATCCAGACTTGTTAGTATGGGAAATAATTAAATGTCTGGACTTTTTTTTTTTAACTAAAGTCACTGTTGAGGGAGATTTTACTTTAGCTAACAGGGTCCTTCACCAATATGGGGCGGGGGTGTGATTACAACAAGGATGAACCAGAGGCACACAAATCATGAAATGAATCTAGCACAGCCCCAAGAAGAGAGGCACTCAGCTGGAGATACAGCTCAGGGGGAGAGCACACAGAGTGTTCAAGGCCTTGGGTTCCATCACAGTCTAGATGGTGGGTATATTGTATTCACTCTACAATGCTTCCAACTTTTCTACTTAATGAGTAAGTTTCATAATAAAATGTTAGGAGAAACAAATATAGCATAAATTTATCTTCTTCACTCATTACTTTATGCTCAACTCTTTCCCCCAAGTTTTCTCCTTCATAGTCCTTGGGCATGTTATTTTGTGTAAAGATAAAACCAAAATGGGACTGGGATGTAGCAATGGTAGAGGGCATACTTAGTATGCATGAAGCCCTGGATTCCATCCCCAGCACTGAAATGAAACAAAAGCAAACCAATAAACATTTGTCAAATGATGAATAGAGCTGCTAAGTGACTCAGTGATAGAGCACTTGTCTAGCAGGTGCAAGACCCTCAGTCCCATCTCCTGTACCACAAAAAAAAAAAAAAAGAAGGAAGGAGGAGGAGGAGAAGGAAGGAGGAGGAGAAGAAGGGGGAGGAGGAGGAGAAGGGAGAGGAAGAGGAAGAAGGAGGAGGAGGAAGAAGAGGAAGGAAGAAGGAAGGAAGGGAAGGAGGGAGGGAGGGAAATGAGTGAGGCAGAGTGCTATGAAGCATCTCAGCTGCAAGCTTTTTCATTCAATAAAATTCCCTCGGAAAAGGCTTATTTTCAGCTTGCTTATGTGGTCTGGGAGGAAGAAAATGCACTTTGCCTGGGAAGTCAGGCCTCCAGAGGAGAATTCTTGGAAGGCAGTTTCAGTGCTCACCCTTGCTGCGCCCAGTGCTAGGTGGGAGAAATGCCAGGCAAGTTCCACAGAAGAGGAAAGCCCTCAGGGAGCCTGTGATCTGACTGTGAGCCTAGATAATGGAGCACACAGGAAAGGAAACAGGGAGAAGCAGCCTGGGAAATGCTGGGGGCAGTTCCAAGGAAGGAGGGGAGGCCACAGGGATCAGCTGGGGAATGCAGGAGACTTCCTGGGAAGCAGGAGTCAGGCGTAGAGTCCAGGGACACACAACAGGACAGCAGGAGAGGCACAGGGAGAGCCCTTTTCATTCTATGGCCAGTAGAAAGCCATCATCTACTTCATGTCCCACTTACCACCAGCTACCAGGCTGGCAGGGCCCAGTGAAAATGAATACACAAAATTTTCAGCACTGAGATCAAACCCAGGGCTTCGCACACGCAAGGAAGGCGCTCTGCCATTCAGTCTCACTCCCAGTCCAATATGAAAAATGTCTAAGTGATTAAGAATTTTATGATGGTCACTGCTGAGCATTTAAGCAGCATAATACTCTTCTGAGCACGGGGCCCTGTGCTCTGCCAAGAAGCCACCTGCTCTCTGCTTCTCACCCAACCCCTGGACAGGCTCCAATGAGGGAATAACTAATGTGAGGGACTTTCCCTCCCTCAGAATCCACATTTAAAAAAGTAGATCCATGAACAGTTTTTCCTATACACAATCCAGAAGGTCAGGGGCTCTGGCAAATTGTAGGGAAAACATGTGAGGAGAGGAGTCCTCATTTGGCCTTACAACACACAGACCCCTGCTGGACAGGGGTGCCCTCTTTGAGGCTAAAACCAGCCAGATGCTGACAAGAGGGTGTGCTCTGGCAATGAGACGACAGGAGGCATGGGAGACAAGAACATTTTGAGAGGGCAGGAGGCAGGAGGACACCTGAAGGTCCCTTTAGGGTTGTGTATTTAATGAGAGCTCTGGAGGCTGAAGCTAGAATTTTCACCTTAGCTCTGCCACTGGATGTTCTGGGTGGAGTGAGCATGCACAGCTCTGGGTTCAGCTTCCTTGTCTGCAAGTAGGGAAAGTGCTAGTACCTCCCCAGAGACTGCAGGGAGGAGAGCTGAGATGTGGAGTGGCTGAGATGTGGAGGGACTCAGTAAAAGGCAGAAATGGACCCTTTTACCAGAGTGGTTACCAACAGTCTAATCTTATCAGGCACATGTGCCAGCAAATAAACAGGCAGTCAGCATTCTTTCCATATTCCAGAATGCAGACTGGGGCAGCTTAGACACCAAGGAGCCAAACCCTGGGCACTTCTCGCCCATTGGTTTATTAAATGCCCATCACAAACCCATGAGGGAGATTGAGTGATCCCCAAGGTAAAGAGTAGAAAACAGCAAGCCCCAGCTTGGAGAGGAGCAGCAGCTTACTCAAGGTCACACAGCTAGGAAGTAGTTGCTGAAGTCAAGAGTACATCTAACACTCAACCTTGGACTGTTGACATTCCAGACCGCATCATTCTTTACTGGTGGAGGCTATCCTGTGCCTTGTCTGCAGAGCAGCACCCTAGGCTCTACTCACTGAATACTAGTAGCTATCAGTCCCCCTCAGTGCAGACAACCAAATATGTGACAGTACCAGCTATCCCCTGGGGACAGCCTACTGATCTAAAGGCAGAATAGGCACCCAGAACTACCCACCCCATTGCTTGCCTAGAGGTAAAGCTCTCAGCTTGGTGTAAGAAGGGACTTTGTAAAAGCAGCTGTTGTCTAACAATGCAGAGTTGCCTTGATCAATAGTGAGCTACTCCCCATGGAAGTAGATGACAAGGGGGAGCTTCCATCTGACTCCAAATTAGAGTTGCCATCTTTCTCAAAGTCAGTTATTTACCTAAGTATATCTTGCAGATTTTGGTTTTAGATACGGTACCCAAAGTACCTAGTACAGTACCCAGCATATAGGAGGTACTCAATTAGAGCAGGGTTTTTTTTCCCCCATCTATGGTCAGTGTCCCTACCATCCACAGCTGGCCCAGACTGGCTGAAAGGATTCATTTTTGACCTCTCCCTGTTTTCACTGCTGCAGAAACTGCTAATAGTCTCTTCTGGTGTTTAGAAATACAACATGCTTTTAAGCTAGCATAAAGACTACATTTCCCAAGCCCCTCTGCAGCTAGCCATAACCATGTGAGTAAGTTCGAATGAAACATAGGTATAGTTTGCATCTTCCTGAAAGCAGCACTAAAGCGAAGCTGTGTATTTTCTTGGCCCTTCATTCTGCCCTCTGGCTGGGATGAAGATATAATGTGTACAGTTTAGGCAGCTATCCTGGATCCATGAGGAAGAGCAGCAAAATAAGGATGGTGAAACAGCAGTAAGGAAGAAGTCAAGGTCCCTGATGATAATGGAGCCACCAGACCAGCCAGGTCTGCTCAGGTCACCGGTAGCATGAGTTTTCCATTATGCATGGAGCAGATACGCTGCTCTGAACTTCAAGGAGTTTGTAAATGAGAAGATTCAAGATAAACAGCATCAAAAAGTTAAATTAAAAATTCTATAATGATGTTCAGGGTAAGATCTCAGCAGAAGGCAGGGCAGGAAAGGAGTAACTGATTCTCCCAGGTTAGGACACAGATGTCAGGAAGGATTGCAAAGAGTCAGTGATGTGTGAGCTGGGCTTTGAGGATGAGTAGGAGTTCACCAGAAGGACAGAAGAGGTTTTTAAGGCCACATAGAAAGGATGAAAATCAAAGCTTAATTTGAGGAACTGGGAGGTTGTCACCAAAAGGAACTTGAGCACGGAAGGCTGACTCTGAAGCAGGCTGAGATGGGTGCGAGTGAACCCATTCACACCTGGAGGCCTTTGCTTGGGCTACCTCCCCTGCCTGGTGCCCCCTGGAAGTTCCTGATTGCCCCCTTCTCTCTGCCACTCATGCACTTCTAGACCATTTAATACTAACTCCCTTTGGCACTACCATTCTTTCTGCAGCTGATTCTTCCCCAGCTATACAGAGAGCAACACCAGGTAGGACATGGTAGACCAAAGCTGTAGTTTGGATCTTACCTGTCCCCCTAAGGCCTACGTATTGAAGGCTTCCCTAGCCTGTGGTGCTATTGGATGTGGTGGAACCTTAGGAGGCAGGGCCTAGTGGGAGGAAATGAGGTCACTGAGGGCATGCCCTTGAAGGGATATATTAGGACCCCAGACCTTCCTTTCTTTTCCCTTCCAACCACCCCGAAGTGAGCAGCTCTGCTCCAGCACACACTACAGTCACATTGTCTTGTTCTGCCTCACCACA